GTGGAGAGACAGCGCAGGAGGGGAAGGCCCTCTATGAGGTGGATTAATTCAGTGACTGGGATAATCGGGATGGGAATGTCAGAGACAGTGCGATTGGCACAGGACAGAGCAGAGTTCAGGGCTGTTGTACATAGGGTCGCTATGAGTCTCAAGTGACTCGACGGCACATAACAACAACAACAACATCTCACGTACTTTGGCCACGTGACCAGGAGGGGATCAGTCCTTGGACATGCTCAGAAGGCTGGGGGAACAGTGCAGGAGAGGGAAACTCCAGATGAGATGGATTGATACAGTAACTGTTGTATTGGGAGTAGGTGTGTCAGAGTCAGTGAGACTGACTCAGGACAGGGCTGGCTTCAGTGCTGTTGTCCATGGGGGGTCACTATGAGTCACAGGCGACTCAACAGCACATAACAACATAAACAGCCAGAAACCTTTGTGGGGAGCCCTTGTGCATGTGATGTGTCAGGCTGATAACCAAAAAGTTATTGGTTCAAATCTACCAGCCACTCTGAAGGAGACAGACAGTCTTCCTGGAAAGATCTACAGCCTCCAAGATGCAGTGGAGGCTTGCTACAAGTCAGACATGTCTCAGTGGCACTAGGTTTAGTTTTGAATTTTTATTTAATGTCATCAGAGTTGTTTCAAGAATGGGACAATCAGTAGGGGAGGGCTCCTCCTGGTCCCAGATCAGCCAAGACATTGAAATGAGCTGCAAATGCAGAGAGAGTTGTTGGTGATGCAGTGAGCTGAGTGGTAATATTCAAGGGCATGGAATGCAGATTTGAGGGGAAGAGAAATGATCATTTCAGCCTGAAGTGTTTATGGACCATCCTGAAGGTTACAGTTAGCAGTTGTATATATGTGGTTTCCTAGTTTGAAGAATGTTCTGAGCTAAGGATGGATATTTGAGCATTATATACTGCTAATTTTCCTAAATATTAAAGTAATTATAGAATAAAATATCCAGAATAAGGAATCACAACACTATAATCATTTTTTTTGTATGAGTTCCAAATAAGGAAACAGTTAAGCCAGAAAATGTAATTGTTCCTATTCCGAGAATTGGGTAACTGATGTATCTTAGCAAATTGTTCATTGAACTGTGCCTATGGCTTCTTGCCAGCCCTCAATGAGATTTTTCTATTTCTTAATTATTCAATTACTACTCATAAGTAGGAGTTTGAAATCAAACCCAGGCTGTTCCACAATAGAGGATTCTCTTGAACCAGGAGTATCATTAATGCAATTTTCCATATTGGGAAACAAGGAGAGTAGAATGGAGAAAGTGTAAGTCTCCTACCCTGAATCTGCCTCTGGGTTCAAGTCCTGCCTTTGTGAGCTGTGTGAGCTTGGACAGGACTCTTTGCTTCTCTAAAGTCAGACTTGAAACTTTTATTTCATAAAAGAAAAGTATCAATTGAACCAATCCCAGTGTTGTTGGGAGTCTTTCGAACAAGACATCCAAGAAGTGCTGATTTTGTGGGTAAGCATTCTCCACAGTTTGGCTCTATGGCTTGTTTTTCTCCTTGTCTGCCTCAGGCCCCAGCAGATGGAAAAACCACCCACTGGAAAGGAGGATACTTCAGACCATAGCATGGCCACTGCCCCAGATGCCAACACCAATCCTGAAGCCCACCTGCCCTCCATTTGCCTCAAGCAAGTGTTCCCCAAATATGCAAAACATTTCAACTACCTGCGCCTGGTGGACAGAATGGCAAACTTGTTTATTCGGTTCCTGGGAATCAAGGGAACAATGAAGTTGGGGCCTACAGGCTTTCGAACCTTCATAAGGTGAGTGAGTCAAGCTTCTTCTGGCCTTGGATTTAGCTGTGACCTTGGGAAGTTTAGAGTCTCACTCCACATTTTGGTGTGACCTCTCTGTCTGTTCTTGGGAGAACACAGTGCTGGGTCGAAGCTTTGTTTAAGGTTGGATTAACTCAGTGATTGGGACTGGGCTTAGCACATTGTTGAGTGAATTAATGAATATTATGGATGTGGTAGGGAGCTCTTCAGTAGCACAAATAGGTAAGCCTTTAACTATTAGCCAAAAGGTTGGCAGTTCAAACCCACCCAAAGGCACCCCAAAAGATAATCCTGAGATCTGTTTCCAAAAGGTTATTTAGTGTCTCCAAAAACCCTACAGTGTAGAGAGAACTTTTCATACATGGGGCAACAGAACTTAAAATACATATTGATAATGCCCCGTCCAATCAGACAGATCTTGTGCTGCTTAAACTGGAGACAGTATTCTCCCACTGGTACGTGACTATGTGCCGAGAGTTCGTGAAGCCATAGTAGAAAAGCAAGACACATCCTTCCAAAGTGTCAGTTTCAGTGGAGAAAAGTTAAATAATTCAGTTGATAAATAATTTAAGACATTTGTTCTAATATAAAAATAACATGGTTATGTTATGAAGTATAATACAACATTTGCATGAATTTTAAAGATAGAACATGAGATAACAAAGAAACTGTGTTTTTGCTGCAGTCTACAAAGCAACCCACTGCCCCTGGGTCCTGCCGGGTTACTCAGTAACCTGCCTTCCCTCTCTGTGGCAATACAGAAGCACTTACTGGGTAACCCTTGGACAGGTTAATGACTATCTCTGAACATCAAGGGCTTCGATCTATAAAATGAGGCTGTCTCTACCCTAGATAAGGAATTCAATGGTGCATGGTTAAGGGTTCAGCTGCTAACCAAAGGTTGGTGGTTCAAACACACCCAGATTCCCAGCAGGAGAAATAACCTGGCAATCTGCTCCCATAAAATGATAGTCTAGTGAACCTTACTGGCTAGCTCTATTCTATTACATGGGATAGAGATTGATCCTATGGGACCTAATAGCAACAACATACCCTAGATTATGTGTGTAAGGTTAGCTGAAATTGCATAGAAACATCTGGCCTATGCTAAGTGTCTAATAACTGTTGGGGATTTTTTTTATAAATGTAAAAGAATTCCATGACATGCTCTATCTCTAAAGGGTCTTGCACGGGGTGTGATTTCTCAAAGTATGTGCTGAGCAAATGACTGTAGATGACAACAACATAATGTGAATGGACTAGAGCCGAGAATTGTTGGGTGGCAATTAATGACTCAATTGTAACATATACACTTCAAAGACAGGATCTGCCAGCATTTGAAGTTGCTGTTGTTTTTCTCATTGTTGGTTTTAATATTTCTACTTTGCACCTCGAAGTCACACTCTTCACAGTTTTATTCACTAAAGCAAATAATTAGAAGTCTCGAGTAGGGAGCCACTTTGTTATACACTTTTCTCTAAATGAGTTTTATAAATTCTAACTTGAAACCTTAAAAAAAAAATCACACCAACAAAAAAAAAAAAACACCAAACCCCAAAACAAAAACCCTTTGCCTCCAAATCTACTCAGTCCTGACACAGTGATAAATAAAAATATCACAGTGATTTCCACTATTTCAGTAAACCTGAGATAGTGTTTATGCTACACTTTTGAGAAGGCTCTGTGCTCATCTCAGGGGGAGAAGAAAGCCCAGTGGAATGAGCACAGCCTTGGGTACAGACAGGCTGATTTCAACACCAAGCATTACATTTACTAGCTGTGTGGTTTGGGACTGATTAATTTTCTTCTCTGAGTCACAGTTCCCTCTTCTCTAATATGAAAATAATTTCTTCTGTCTTATAAGGTTGCTTTTATAAGGTTAGCTAGCTAGCTAGTTAGTTAGTTAGTTAGTTAGTTAGTTAGTTAGTTGATGTCGAGTCAATTATGACTCATAGCGACCCTGTGAACAAAAGAGCTGAACCCTCTTCTATCCTGCAACATCCTCACACTTCCTGACAAACAAAAGCCCATTTCTGCAGTCACCATGTAAACCCACCTAGTTGAGGGTCTTCCTCTCCTTCGCTGACCCTCCACCCTTCCCAGCACCATGTCCCTCTCCAAGGAATAGCCCCTCCTAGCAACATGACCAAAGTATGTGAGGCAAAGCCGCATCATCCTTGCCTCCAGAGAGCACCCTGGCTTCACCCTCTCCAAGATATATTTGTTCTCCTGGCCGTCTATGGGATGGTCAGTGCTCTTCTCCAGGACCACAGCTCAAAGGTGTCAATTCTTTTTTTTCTCTATCACCCTTATTCATTGTCCAGCTCACAGATGCATAGCAAGTAACTAGAAGGAGCATGGCCTGAATCAGATGCACTTTAGTCCTCAAACTGATATAATTACTCCACAAATTAAGGTATAAAATATATACATATAGAGTACCTGGCCCAGCACATAATTCATAGGACCTACTTGTTCTGTGAGAGTCTTGTGATTATCATTGCCAGGGGAGAAAAGGCAGTGGGAAATTTTCAAGAATATACATGAGCATGTGTTATAATTTATCCTAAGAATGCTACCTACCTAGCACAATACCTTCTCATTGATTTTGGAATTGCATTGGACATTTATCTCTAAGTTGCTTTAATAGTGAGATTCCTTTTCTCTCATCTAACAAGAAGTTTGGCATTAGAACTCTAGAGCTAGCCAATGACTCCACAGAAAGATCAAGAGCCCCACTTTCAGTCTTTTTGCTCATCAGTTTTCACAAATTTTTCCAGCTGCAGGGTTGCCATATAGTAGCAAAATGGCTGCCATAGATCCAACCATCATGGCTGAGTTCAAGGCAAGGAGAAAGAAGGATCTTACTCATTGAGTTAGACTGCTTCAAAACACTGTCCTGGGAGCTACAGTCAATGACTTTCGTTTCCATCTTATTGGCCACTACCATCTGCATGGGAAACTGGAGGAAAAAAGGCTCTCCCTACTCCCATTATATGCTGCTATTTTAATATAGTGAAAAAGGAAGAAAAGTGAATATTGAGTAATCCCTTCCCCTTTGTGATTCTTGGGATATAAGGAAAGAGTATAGAGGTAAGGGCACCTCAGCGTGATCACACTGTGGAATCATTCGTTATCCCTACAGCCCCTAAGGCCAAACTTCCTTTTACATGTTGTTGTTGTTATGTGCCTTTGAGTCACATGCGACTCATAGTGACCCTATGTACAACACCCCTAAACTCTGCTCTGTCCTGTGCCAATCGCACCATCTCCAAAACACCCATCCGGATTACCCCAGTCACTGAATCAATCCACCTTGTAGGGGGCCTTCCCCTTTTGTGCTGTCCCTCCAACCTCCCAAGCATGATGTCTCTCTCCAAAGACCGGTCTCTCCTTACAACATGTCCAAAGTATGTTAGACAGAGCCTTAGAATCCTTACCTCCAAGGAACAGGCCAGGTTGATCCTCTCCAGGATGAATCTGTTTGTTTTCCTAGCAGTCCATGGTACCCTCAGTACTCTTATCTAGCACCACAGCTCAAAGGCATCAATTCTCCTTCTAGGCTCCTTAGTCATTGTCCAACTCTCTGATGCATAACAAGTGATTGCAAAGACCATGGCCTGTATCAGATGTACCTTAGTCTCCAAAGAAACACCATTGCCCTTCAGTATTTTGGAGAGGTCCCTAACAGCAGACTTTCCCATCTCCATACGTCTTTTAATCTCCTGGCTGCTGGTGCTAAGAGTGTTGACTGTGGAGCCAAATAAACTGAAGCTGTGAATGATCCCAATCTCTTCACCATCCATCCTGATGCTGCCAATTGGCCCAGTGGTGAGAATCTTTGTCTTCTTGACATTGAACCTCAATCCATATTGGAGGCTGTAGTCCTTGACCCTCCACAGCAAGTGTATGAGGTCCTCCTCAGTTTCAGCAAGCAGGGTTGTATCATCTGCATATCACAGATTGTTGGTAGATCTTCCACCAATCTTGACCCCACATTTCTCCTCATAGAGCCCAGCCTCCCGGATAATCTGTTCTGCATACAGGTTGAAAAGGTGTGGAGACAGGACACATCCCTGGCATACACCCTTCCCAATTTTGAACCATGCAGTGTTTCCTTGCTCTGTTCTGATGACTGCCTCTTGCTCCAAGTATAGGTTTTGCATTAGCAGGATCAAGTGTTCTGGATTCCCATTCTTCTCAGAGTCAGCCACAGTTTGTTATGATCCACACAGTCAAACACCTTTGCATAGTCAATGAAACACAGATAGACATTCCTCTGGTATTCTCTGCTTTCAGCTAAGATCCATCTAACATTAGCTACAATGTCCCTAGTACCACGACTCCTTCTAAACCCAGCCTGGACTTCTGGCAGGTCTCTGCTGATGTGCTGTTCTAGTCGTTTTTGGATAATCGTCAGTAGAATCTTGCTTGCATGTGAAATCAATGAGATTGTTGTATGGTTTCCACACTCTGTTGGGTCACCCTTCTTTGGGATGGGAACAAATATAGATCTCTTCCAGTCAGTTGGCCAAGTGGTTGTTCTCTAGATTTCTTGGCACAACTTGGTGAGCACATCCAGGACAGCATCTATTAGCTGAAATATGCCAATTGGTATACCATCTATTCCGGGGGCCTTATTTTTTGCTATTTCCTTCAAAGCAGCTTGAACTTCTTCCTTCATCACCATAGGCTCTTGCTCATATATTGTTTCATTAAATTCTTCTGTGTCTGCCAATTCTTTTCAATACAGTGACTCAGTATATTCTTTCCATCTTCTTTTAATACTTCCTGGATCATTTAATATTCTGCCTAAAGCATTCTTGATTATAGCAACTTGAGGTTTGAATTTGTTCTTCAGTTTCTTGAGCTTAAGAAATGCTGAGCGAGTTCGGCCCTTTTGATTTTCTGACTCCTTTTACATGAGAGAAAATTAATCTCATTATGAAAACCACTTGGAGACAGTTGTCTATTACTACAAGTCAAAT